AATAATCATAACATACACTTATTTAAATCTAGCTGTCGCCCTCGACTCCGTCCTCGCAAAATTAAAAAAAAATAAGTAGTACCCTAGTGTGTTCTTCTATACTTTGTTCTACATGTATGCCATTCTAGAGATACCTTCAAACATCCATCCATCCATCTAAACATTCTCAATTCTAATATTAGAAACATATGCATACCTATGCCGCATAATAAAAAAAAAATATTTAATCAGTCTAACTTCCGCACTCAGAGTCATTAAGTGGGCACTGAGGTAGTCTCTTAGTGTTGATTTAGTCATCATCTCCTTGTCCTTGATTTTCGTCTTCCAAATCAATCTATCGGTGTACCACTACTTAGTGTTTCCTTTATTATAAAAAAATTACACTAAGCAATTGTTTAAGAAACTTTTAGCTGAGAAAACAAACGTTCGAACTAACACTAAAAACAACAAACAAGTCCATTTGTTACATTATTACGGTTAGCGATAGAGTTTTATGAGGGAGCCGGCTGTTTACGTTCGTGGTGAAGGGTCGAAGGCCTAGCGAAAGGTAAACAGTGTCGGCGTACCAGTAAAAATAACAGTAAATAACTGCTTCCACCAGCATATTTTAATTTGAGTAGTTGCAAAGAAGTTATCATCTGATCTGGAAAACAAAATCATATATAACAAAGAGAATGAATTTTACTAACATCGTAAATACGACAGTTGGACGAATGTATGTTTGTTATTGCAATCTATAGAACGGTTAAGCGGATCTCGCTGAATATTGCCATTGGTTTAGAGCATAGTTTGCAAGAACACATAGGCTACAAAGGTAGGCAACGCATATGCAATTGCGTATGTCTATGGGCAACGGTCACTGCGCTATTTCAGCGGTTTCGGGTGGTCGCTTGCTTGTTTGCCACCTTATTATATAAAAAAATATATCTATTATCTGTAAATATATACATAGCCTGTGATTCGTTACTCTATTTAAGAACAACACTATTGAGGATATAGTTATATTGTTTAAACTTGTGAATATAATAATGTAAAGTAATTATAGAGGCAATTAAAACCATAGAGTTAAAATCTTTAAAAACGTTGTAGGTGTACTCTATATTATCTAGTCGATAACCGAGGTCACTACGACATAGTAACTCAGTGAAATTTTGCGATTTCGTTGCTATATATAATTTATTTCATGAATAAAAGTTTACCGTCACAGTATCATTAAAATTCCATTTCCAAGCCAAGGTTATGACGAATTGATTATACGTAACATGTAACCGGCTCACAAAAGAAAGGCAAGAGCGATTTGTTTTGGCATATGTCAGTCTGATGATAAATTTAACTTCTGTCATTATAACAAAGTTTTTTTTAACGTACAATTGTATAATATATATTATATAGTACATAAGAAAATATTATACATGTAACAATACATAAGTTAATAATCCGCGCAAGAGCAACATTAACGACCACTTAAAACGAACAAGCGTTAATGAAATTTTAAACCGGTATATCCTCGGGCTTTAGGGTGTTCGTGCTATGAAAAGGACTGCGGGAATCTTTGTACGCGACGCGTGAGCTCAAAGGGGACGGAGCACTGAAAGAGGATTGATTGACAGAGTAATGGTAGAGACCAGCGCTCGCTGTCTCTACAGGGCCCTGAGGGTGTATTGTTAGAGTTGAAACACCTCGACCACGCTGGAATCTCGTCAATACAATATGCTAAAAAGGCCCTGTAATATTAAACAGAACTGTTTTTTATTTATTTTTTGTTTATTTAAATGTATATGACTTTATAATCTGCTACTAGTTTTGATAAAACTTTTAACAAAGGTATATTTACAGAAGATGAATTTAAATTTTCAATTTGTAACGATTGTTCAGTCTAAATTATTTCTATACGCATTAAGCATCAACTTATAGAAAATTACAATTTAAATTCTATTAAAATATTTTTGATTTTTCTCTATGCTATTGAACTATGTAACCTAAATTTAAAAAAAACGGAAAATATTAACATGTAGTAAATTATTTACAGCGATATTATTACTTACAATATCCTTAAAACATAAAAAAAATCTATTATAATTCAGTATTTACTATCCAAGTGGCGAGCCGCGATTTCCGACGATAAAATCCACTACAAATTATAGACGAGATTAGGGAAGTTCCGTCATAAAATTGTAGATGCGAAATAAATATAATCACAAAAATATTCTGTAAAGTTTCAATAAAAGTCACTTTTAATTCATTTCGAAATTAAAATCAAAATAAAGGATAGAAAAACATTGCAAAGAAAATAACTGGCTAGACTATTTTTTACAATGTGCACTTACTGCTAGGCAATTAAGAACAATTACGTCAATGTTTAAAGAAAGAATTTACACTCGCAATTACTAAAGCATTAATAAAATTATATTTCTTGCAAGTTGTCTTCTTATTATAAATAACTAGCTGCGCCCGCGACTCTGTCCGCGTGGATATATAAAAAACTTAATTAGTGTACCCCACCCATCCATCCATTCACATCACATCCATCTAAACATTCGCATTTATAATATTAGTAAGTTAAATAAAAAGTAGCTCTTCAAGGCATAAATTCGAAAAAAAAATGATTAAATAGTATCCTATGTCCGTCTCCTGGCTCTAAGCTACCTCCTCACCAATTTTCAGCCACATCTGTAAAGCCGTTTTTGGGTTATAAATAGTGTAACTAACACGACTTTCTTTTATATACATAGATTGGTTTGCCTTATAACGAGGCGTATCTTTATATAAACGATCAACAATAACATATATACAAATAATAAGTAAATAGGTTAGTGTTTCATTTTGATTAACACGAAATCTTTAATCAATACATCATGTTATACAAACATTTGGTCAAATATTTGCCAAACAAATTGTCAATATTGTAAAAAAACATTCGCCTAAGTCGCGTGATGGTTTAGTCTAGTCCCTGGTTTATTTTCGAACACATTGATTAGAGGTTATGCTAGGTATCGCCCGCGACTCCATCCGCGCGATATTAAAATAAAACATAATTAGTAGCCTATGTGATCTTCTAGGCCAGTCTTTCCCAAAGTGGGCGATACCGCCCCCTTGTGGGCGCAGCAGTCCAAGTTGCGGGTGATAGTAAAAGTTTCGTTTAGAATTCTCCGTTTATATACATATATAGGTTACAATAATTAAATAAATTAATTTGAAGTTATAGTGGTTTTTAAATATGTGAAAATATGGGGGCGCTAAAAAAATATTTATTCTCAAAGTGGGCAGTAGATAAAATAAGTTTGGGAACCACTGTTCTAGGCTATGTTTTATATGTGTGCCAAATTTCATCAAGATCTATTGCGCAGTTCTGGTGATGCCTTCAAACAAACATCCATTTAAACATTCGCATTTATAATATTAGTAAGATTTTCGTTGTAGTCTATAGCTAGAGCAGTCCGTCTTTATGAATGAGGCACTTGTAAAGAAAATTTATGCAACAGCTTGAAGACTGTGACCGGAATGCTAATAGGATAAATAAATGATTACAATAATGCTGTTTACGATGTCTCCTAGCTTGCTTGTAGACAGGAGTATTAATTATAAATAGTTTATTATCCGTAAGCGACAATATATTGGCTACTAATTTAATATTCTTTAAGCAACTACGAATAATAGACATAAAATACAAGTACTATATTGAATTTTAAGTATTTTTTGCCCGTCATGCCCACCCAGATTGACTTTAATAAATTCATCGAGATAAGACTTTTATTAGGTATGTCCGACCAGGGGGCTAGACAAAGTCGGTTCGCGGCGATTCCATAGCGAACTTCAAAATTGTATGAAACTGACGCGTGACGATCACGTGACTTATCGAAAGTTATTGTAACATACAATTTTGAAGTTCGTTATGGAATCGCTTCGCAGCGAATGCACTTTGTCTAGCCCCCCAGATACTACTTAATGCTTTTTTTTAATATTATAAGGTGGCAAACGAGCGAGCGGCCACCTGAAATCACTGAAATAGCGACTAAATTAGGCCTCCGGGACGCACACTCATCAGACGAAACGCGGAATTGCTTCCACTTCACGCCTGTCTTCTATGTGGTCGTGGTATTTCACGGCGAGCCGGGCCAATTCGTGTGAAGATGTTAAAGCGGGCTCTACCACTGTTAAATGTATTTTTTATTTTAAAACTTAAATCTGTATGTTTGTATTGTAAAATTATAACGCAGTTAAATCTACTTATCAAGATCTATTCGATTGTAACATTTCAATGTAGATTATCGCATGCTATAAATGAAATAACATTTCATAATCGTGTAATCGTCTCTCGCATTTATAGCTCGTTTCCTTCACGGAATTGCAAATACTTTACACGACTTATTGCTAAATCGCGAAAGCAATGTCGAGTCTATTGAAGTGTTGAAATAAAAAAAATATATATTTTTCTATGTATTAGAAATATAATTAGGTTTATACTAATAAAACAACTAAATTAATTCGTGTTTGAATTCGATTAGAAGCCGTACAAAACGGTACAAAACCGTACAAACGTTTTCGCATTTGATGTCCTAAATTAGCTACTAAAGCACTTACTGTTTGTTTCCGAGAACCAGATCTCTGTATAAAACATCTTTGACAGAACAGAGATAACAGTATGTTCGAGGATTTTGGTCTCAGAGACTCACGGTTAATCAAAGTAATTAATAGCAGCTTATAAATTGCTAACTTTCAGTAATTAACTCAGTCGACTGTGGGAATTCTTGCAATGGTTGTTAATTCGTTAATCCGACCTGTTTAAAACGTGCTTAAACCGCACAGATTATACACCATATACTATGCATTGCACCATGTTACACGAGAAACCCTAGTACACTATAATAGGTATAATGTATTAGACCATTTTATACAAGAAAATTCAGAAACAATAATATTTTTTTTTGTTTTAAATTAACTTCTATGAAGTTGCGTTAATCTCATGTGACGCCATTAAACAAAAATTAAAAAATACTCACAGTAAAGAAATGCGGTCTCAACCTGCCGATGGTGTATTTAGCGACATCTGTTGTCAGCTGCTGGCAAGCACAACCGAAGAGGAACACGCCCACAACTTTGTACACCTCCCAAAGCCAAGCTGGTAGCTCTCGACCCAGGACGTTGCGGGATCTACCGCCCTTGTAGTCCCGAAGACGTATCCATTCCGTTAACACCATCTAAACAATAAGCAATAAACAATTTAAAAAAATAAACTGTCACATTCCAAGGAAGACTGAAAGATATTTTATTTGTCAAAATCAGACAACGGCTACGCTAATATTAATGATTCGTTCATTTTTGCAATTAAAATTAAGTAAATCGTGGAATTAACATATTATTGCAATTAATAAAAGCCGCACATTTTAAACGCTTTTCAACATATTATTCGTTTTTTCTGTAAGAATACCAAAATCAGTTTAAGAATGGCCGCTTCCTCGTTTTACAACCTTATTATATTTAAAAAAAAAGAATAAATTCGTTGCCAGTTTAGTATTCAAACGTTTAATTCCTTTAAAATTAAATTAAAACTAAACATATCCAACATACCATCCTGGCTGAATACAAAGTAGTATCGCAAATCAACAACATAAAAAATCAATACTTACGAAAGACATACGACCTCCGCGATTCGCCAACATAATGCGCAAATTACGTGCCCAACATAAAACATCAGCAAAGTAATGTCGGCAAAACAAAATTATACAAAAACATTGCAACATTACGTGCGTAAATGCAATATTCAGACTTGTACAGGAAGAAAGGGGTAAAGTTTCTGTTCGTCTTTCATCCAATTATAGACTGCTGTTTATAATATCATAATTTACTTTTCAACTTTAGAGCAACGTATATAAGGAATACATTTAACATTGTGAAGTAGAATTAACTTCACGTACTTAGCTTTTACCGCAAATCTAAAACGGTAACGGAATTGTAGGAAATGATTCAAACCCTACAGGTAATGCAAAAAACAAATGAAAAATCGACATCGTCGACGCCGAGGTGATCATCGACGCTCATGGACATATATTTAATTCCAAACAAGAAACTTAATGCCATCTAGCTGGTAACTGGTTAATACTGAAGCTTTAAAATTAACCAGTTTAATAGTGCATTATAACAGTTATAATTTAATTAACGTTGCAAGTAGTAGCCTTGAGTGCGGGGTCGCGGGTCGACCGTGCACCGCATACCGCACACCGATACATATTTATGTGCACTTAAAACAGTGAGTTTCCACTGCCGAAAATCATGTACTAAAACATATTGTCATCACTCTCATTCTCCTTGGAAAAAACAAAGACAGTGGCAACACTGTCCACAACCATACATGGGAAAAATATTGGTTACTTTTTAAAAACAAAATTCACCAGTCTCGTGTAAAAATAAGTAAAAAGAGGTCGTGTCCTGAAGCGTGAATACAAACTAATAGGGTGCAAACGACGTGATAAGATGTGTAAACACGCTCGCCGGTTAGCGTGTTCTCTAACAAGCTGTAACGAGAAGAATTTACATAGGAAATGTTCAACACCACCCGACCACTGATTTTAATATACGTGTCCACGAGATATATAGAGATTTGTCGTAAAAGATTTTAATGGCACAATGTCCATTGTTAAATACATAAAAATATGAACTCAATGTAAAAGCCGAAATATTTAATAGAACACATAGTTATAGACTGTGAAATAAATAATATTAATTTAAAATACATAATTGCATAGTTCCAATTAAACGTAAGAAACGATCAATTTTGTGAAGTATGTATCTCGTCAAATCCTTTCATAAATGGTCTAAAGTTTCAATTATTTAAAGCATTTCAAAATAATTAATTCAAACACTATAACACAGAAACTATAGTCAAGTTTTCAAACTATTATTATCTTAATAATATAGTGATAAGTTATTATTAATCAGTACTCGATTTCTCTTAACTGATATCTACAAGTTGTATGTATGTATGTATGAAAGATGCAGTGTATAGTACGGCCTATAAAAGTGGCGTGTGGCATTCGAAATCCGTCATAACAAGACGTTCACGCACTCATTGACATTTATGTTGATATGCGTGCGTGTATCTGAGATAAGGCCAGCATAGCAACATTTTCTTTATGTTATTTTTTTTTTTAGAAAAATAACGACCATGCCCAGAGATGTTTCATAGTCTAAGTCCTTTGACGCATAGCAATATTTTAGCAATAGTATAGAAAATACTTTGTAGATTTCGATACAATGTATTCATGTTCATTGCCGATAAATGGTTTTTAACCAGTTATGTTATAGGCCTACCTTAATCAAATTACTGAAGTCTATCAAAGGAACGTGGTTAAAGATATTGTAAATTTTAAAGCTAATAAAATTAGTCATATTAATATTTGCATCATCCATTTAATTCTCGAAAATTATATTATCTTTTGAAGATATCTATTTTACACCTCAGTTTACTCATTTCTTATCTAGACGTAGATAATATAAATCTAATTTATTATCTATGTCCTCAGGAAATAATTCAGACATTCTTTTGGAATACATGGAAATTAGTTTTCCTCGTTATTAAACCAAATTGTAAATTGTCAAAAGTAAAATACGATATTTGAAAACCAACTTGTAAACTTTCGACAAACTTGAAATTTTATTCTGGCTGATGCCACAACATATTTCGCATTCGTATACATTTTTCCTTCCACAATTAACAAAATACTAGTCATGTAAATAGTTTTAAACATTATTAATTACAATCCTATGGCGCGAATGACGTGCTTTCGTTACAAAGTCTAGTGTCAGAATGAATCTGAGAGGACACAAACGTCGACCTTTTAATAAGGCTAGTGTTGAGCCAATACACTGGTTCATTTCCGGATTTTATTTCTAACAATAGTTATTTATAAAAAATGAGATAACTGATGATTACTATTAACACGGCAGCTGCCAGAATGATTTTTCGAAAAGCATTTTTTTTTTTAATTTTGTCCAAAACCATTTGAATGGGGCCTTGCGGGTCACGCTGTATACAACAATTCGATTATAAATCCACAGTGAGGTGTTGAATGGAAGTATGGCTTGTCGGACATATAGTCCGACATGGCCTGATTGAAACATTAGCTTGTCGGACATATAGTCCGACATGGCAGCTAACGTGTTAAATAAATTAAACTTTCGTGAATCAATATATTAAACTAACAACTCGCTTTGCTAAACTCTTGGCCTATATTGTTGGCGCAAATTCATTTGTTTTAGTTACAATACAATTCAATAAACCAAACGTATCAAAATTTTACGAAGCAATACATGTAATGGATTGAATAATTCATCCCTCGTTTTATATTGCCAGGTTACCTTTGATGTTATTTTGTATATCGTAGTACTGTTGTGTTTAATCTTAATGTAGCATCGTATTTCAGTGAGAGTACCTAGATTTTATTGATTTACAACTTCTGGTTTTAATTCGTCTTATCGTATAGAACCATAAAGTTTTCTTTTTTTTTATATAGGAGAAGGTGGCAAACGAGCAACGAATCGCCTAACATAACATTATATTATTTGCATCGTAAAATAATACCATTCTTACTAATATTATAAATGAAAAAGTTTAGATGGATGTTTGTTAGAGGTATAGCCGGAACGGCTCAACGGATCTTGATGAAATTGTCACAGATGTAGAACCTAGCCTGGAAGAACACATAGGCTACTTATTAAGTTTTTTTCTAATTTAGCTGACGGAGTCAAATGCACGGATAGTTTGGGAATAGTCATCTCATTACACATCTATGTGACTTATCAATACG